AAATAACATAATTAAGATCGAAAAAGTAGTTGGTGAGAGATTGCATTTGTGGGGCCAGCTTCTCTCCAGTAGCAAAGTTGACCATGGGTCGTAGAAACCAGGATAGATATCTTAAGGACAAAGGAACTTAACATGGGGAGTTAAGTAACATTGACATCACTGATGGGCTGGGCTAGCAGGTATTGGCTGGTGCTGTGGATGTCCACACAATCCAGAGTAGCTCTGACCTCATTATGTTTTCCAGCATCGGAAGGTGTAACCCACATCTGTAAGGGTTTTGGAAAAGTCAGCTCAGTAGGGTGGTGTTAATCCATACCAGGTGAGATTAAGACCACAACCACAATTTTTGAGCCTAATTTGAAGCAAGCTTTATTAATGTGGTAGTAGTCCATTCATTCATTTATTTGTTTGTTTGTTTGTTTATTTTAATCCTGGTGTTATCCAACACCAGATGGCCTGGGAATTGAACCTGGGTCTTCTGGAACATAAGCCAGTGCTCTTAACCACTGAGGCATCTTTCTTCCCCTTAATGTGGTAGTTTAAATGTCATTGCCCCCATAGGCTCATGGGGAGTGGCACTATTGGGAGGTGTGGCCTTGTTGAAGGTGGTGTGTCACTGTGGGGGCGGGCTTTGAGGTCTCTTTGGCTTAAGCTTCACTCAGTGTCACAGATACTTCCTGCTGCCTTCTGATCAAGATGTAGCCAGCACCATGCCTGCCTGCCTGCCGCCATGCTCCCCACCAGGATGATAGTGGACTGAACTTCTGAAACTGTAAGCAAGCCCCAGTTAAATGTTTCCCTTATAAGAGTTGAGTAGTTATGGTCTTTTCACAGCAATAGAAACCTTAACCAAGACAATTAAATACTAGCTAGGATGACGGACACTGGCCAGGCCCTTACCTGGGATTCCCAGAGTACGACACCAAATTACATTAGTTAGAGGCTCATGAAGAAAAATCCACAAGTACTACCTGCTTTCGTCCAACCAGGGTGAAGTATGCATCCTGATGTACTTCTTGCCTAGGTACCTCCTGCCTACCTGTGATCAAAGACATCCTGCTCTTGGGGCCACCAAGCTTGTTTACAGAAGTGAAAACATGTGGTTTGTTACCTTACATAAACAACAGCCCCCAGCATTCCTGGAAGTTGTCCTTGAGCAAGTGGGGTTTACAGGTTAGAGGCATTTTTCTTTTATAGATCTCTTAAGCATGGTCCTTTAAACGTAAAACATAACTTTAGCCCTCACAGTGTCCTTGAACAGACCAAGGGCAGCTCACAATCATCTTAGTTACTTCTGTTGCTGTGATCAGATATCCTGACAAAGGAAACTTGAAGCAGAAAAGGTTTATTCTGGCTCATAGTTCACACTCAAGTCCCTCTAGGTGGGGGAAAGAGGCCTTGCTGGAAGCAGCTGTTCACATCAGATCCACAATCAGGAAGCAGGGAGCAATGAATGTGTGCTGCTGCTCAGCTCCTTTCCCCATCTACACAGGCCAGGATCCCAGCAGGGAATGGTGCCACCCACTGTGGATGGGTCTTCCTACCTCAGTAGAGATAATCAAGGCCATCCTTGTCCCGAGGCCTCCTTCCCAGGAGATTCTAGGTCTTCTCAAGTAGACAATTGAGATTAACCATCACAGTGGCTTTGGAGCTTTGTCTGCTTATCTAGACACTGGGGTCCTGTCTCATCAGCCTTGCAGGATTATGAGCTCATTTTCTCAGGAAGTAATAGATTTTAGTAACATCCTGTTTATTGGAGTTTGTGCATGTACCTGGCTCTCCCACTAGGTCTTAAACGTACTGGGACACTATACCTGACAGAGGAGATGCTCAAAAGGCAAGGGCCTGGGTGAGTACAAACCAGGGCTGGAGACTCCTACGTATTCTGTTCCTCACTCCTTTCTTTCCCCTCCTTACCAGAGGCAGTATTTCCCTGCGTTACTGTAATTAACAAGGGCACCCCATGGCTTTGTTCCAGAGAGATCAAAGCCCTTCTCAAGCTTAACCTCATTTTCTCCCATGGGTCTGCGAGAGGCAAATTGCTAGTTAGCCTAGGATGACTGTTCCCACTCCACAGATAAAAACAAGGACAAGAACTGGAGAACTAACTCTTGGGTGGAGCCAGCACCCGGTGGCAGCCTGCCAGGGTAGGTTTCTTCCTAATGATTCTCTTGGTTGCTTGGGTTTCCCAAATGGAGTTTCCACCATGAGGGAAAGCAGCACCCACCTCCACTCTTGCCCCAAAGTGTCTCCTGCTGTTGACTTCTTCATGTCTCTGTATAGGGTTACCAGGACTTCAGTGACTCTCAGAACTGAAAAGGGGCAGCCTGGAGCCTGGCTCCGGGGCAAGCCAATGCAGAGTCTACACACCAAATTGTAGTTAGTCTTCCTCACCGAAAACCTGTTGTTTATACCTCCTAACCTTCCTATGAGTCACCTGTTTGATTTCATGACTTAGATGTGACCCTGTTCTGTTCACATCTCTATTACCAGGCTGAAAGGATTGCTTTATAGGAATTGTCTCTATGTTCTGAGGCCATGTATAAAGTGGTGGAGAGAAGAGCATTCAAAAGCAGATTCAGGGGAACATGAATCCCTTAAGTAAATATGTATGCCTAGGGCTTCCTTAGGTATTAATTATAGTACAAGAGTATCTTTTGTGGATACTCTAACCCCTGATTCACAGTTATTGTTTGAAAATATTTTTTTAGGATTGTAGAGGTTGATTTTTTTTTTGTTTTGTTTTGATTTTTTGAGGCAGGGTCTCACTACATGGCTCTGGCTGTCCTGGAATTCACTATGTAGACCAGACTGGCCTCGAACTCACAGAGATTCATCTCCTTGTTTCAGGAATGCTGGGATTAAAGGAGTTTGCCGGCAGGTCAGCTGTAGAGGTATTTCAGAATACGTGGCAGGCTTTTACTCTCAAGCCTTTCCTCCCGAGCTCAACTCTTAGCTTCAAGAGCTCAGCAGCAGGTTGTGACCCATCACTGCTCTGTCCATTCCTGGCTTTCACACCAACCTATCAACTAGAATGTGCTGAAGATCTCCTGTGTCCCAGGAGTTGCACCCTAACTGGTGGTATTTCAGACATGCTGTCACAATGACGGCTGCTTGGACTGGTCTCCTGCCACGCTCTGCACTGGCAGGACTTCTCAGCACGTGTGGGTGGTGTTGGAGGTGTTGGCAACAGCCTTGGAACATAGCCGTGGCAAAGAAGCCCTTAACTGAGAGCCATCGACAAAGTGCCAGAACCGTGAGCTATTCCCACCTCGGAACAGACCATGTACTGTTGCCGACTTAACTGTGTTTGAAGGTCAGCCAATTGTCAGGCCGGTGTGGAAGCAGGGCCCTTTTTATCTGCGTGTCTGTGGTGAGGTTAGGGGAAAAGATCACACTGTAACAAGTAAATCCCATTCCATGCACGGATGTGTGTTCGTGTTTGTACGTGCAGAATGTCTTTTACTCAGAGCCTTCTGACCACAGAGCCTTGCTGTGGGACTTCACACTCATGAGATGTGTGAATCTTGAGACCTCTTTGCTGACAAATGTTCATCAAGAGCTCACCTTGTGCCTGCATTTCCATCAGGGTGTATACAGAAAGCAGATGCTACTAGAGGATCTGTGGAGAAGCGTTTGTATTCGGTGAGGCTGTTGAGAAAGGTGTGGGGTCGCAGCTACACAGGATGGAGCAGTAACTTGTGGCTCCGAGGCAGCCATTATGTTATCAGTTCCAGCCCTGGCACAATCACAGAGTTCTGCTCTCATTGCATACTTGTGGGAGGCCCAGGGAGCAGTGACCTTCAGCGAAGGGACTTCTCTGCCTGGGTGTGTTCTTGTTGGGGAGAAATCAGAGAAACATCACCTTTAGCTGACTTTTTTTTTTTCTTCTTTCAGTTCTCAAGGTCCCCCACAGATCAAACTCAACAGAAGCCTGGGAACAGTGGGACATGCAATGCAATTCTTTTATGGGTCAGCTACACGGGGCAGGAGGCAAGATCGGGAAGAAGCTGGAGTAGGTGGGTGGGTGTACCTGGGGCAGCGAATTCAAGACGTGAAGATCAATGCTACACTGCACACTGGGCAGCGACTCAGATTTTGTGGGGGCTAAAGCGTATACAATTTTCTTTTAGGGTCCACTTTAAGAAAACAACACAGGCCCGGTGTGGTGGCATACACTTTTAACTCAGCACTTGGGAGACTGAGGCAGGTGGATCTCTGTGAGTTCCAGGACAGTCTATACTACTTAGTAAGTTCCACGACGGCTAGCGTTACATAGTTCCTGTCTGAAAGGAAACACACACACACACACACACACACACATACACACACACACACACACACACACACACACACACACACACACACACACACCAAAAAGCCCACCCCCTATCTTAAATTGGTAAAACAATAGCAGTAACAATGATAACACCACCCAAAACCAAAGCCTTTCCCAGGGCTTCAGAAGACTCAGATCCAAACTGAAGTTAGAAGCCTACACTTCCCGCTCCTCGAAATTTGAAGTCTACACATTCTTTGTCTACACATTGAATAAATCAAGCTTCGGTGAGCTCTGGTAATATTTATTTCAGCTTTTTTTCCTTCTTTTCTTTTGGTTTTTTGAGACAGGGTTTCTCTCCGTAGTTTTGGTGCCTGTCCTGGATCAGGATGGCCTGGAACTCAGAGATCTGCCTGACTCTGCCTCCCGAGTGCTGGGATTAAAGGCGTGCGCCAACCACCACCTGGCTTTATTTTGGCTTTAACAGCCACAGTATTAGGTTAAGACAGCAATCTTAAACCACATTTCCCAGAAGCCCTCGGGCTCTTAAGACCCCCCCCCCCCGAACCCTCCCCAACCCCGCCCCCTCCCGTCTCCGCGGCTCAAAGACTACAATTCCCAGCATGGAGCGAGAGTAAGGACCACAACTCCCGGCGTGCCCTCAGTGCTGGCCCGGAAGCGTGGCCTTCCTCTTGCCCCGCCTCTCCCGCCGCTCTCAGCCAATGGGAATGCTCAGTATTGCGCGGTGTGGCGGGGACAGCGCCGTAGACAAGTTGCGAGTCGAGGGAAGCGGCGGGAAGTTCGTACTACGCTGTGGACCGCGGGTTGGCAACTCTGGGTAGGGAGCTGCGGGGTGGCGGCAGGACGGTGGCTACGGTGTCGCTTCAGAGCGGCGCCTGCATCTTCCAGGCCTCGGGCGGCGCCGCGGCTGGGTCGGGCCTGCCCGGGAACCCTCGCTTCTTAGCCTGCTCGCGGAGCTGCCGGAAGCCTGGTTCTAGAAGGACGCCCGAAACGGGGCTCGGGCCAGGGTGGCGGACCAGGGGTGACAGGGACCTGGACCCGGGCTGAGCCTGCCCCTTCCTTGGCAGCGGTGCGGTGAGGCCTCGGGGTGCACCCCGCGGGCCGCCGGCTTCTCGCCTCCTTCCTGTCTCTGCTTCTGTGGTCGCCGCCGCAGGTGCCCTGTTTCCCGGTGCAGCGTCTTCAAAGGCAAACTTAGGTTCCCTCCATCGTCAAAGTTTGTTTTAGACCGTTTCCAGTCCAAATAGCCTCAGTGTAAAACTGCTCTAGAGTCTTTTGAGAGATGGGGAGAGAGACCGACCCGCTAGAGTCCTGAGGAGGGTACCCGTTTTTTTTTTTTTTTTTGTCTTTGAAGTCATCCATTCTTTATGTATGTATGGATTCTTCTTTTCCCTCCCCCAGTGATCTTGGATTTTGCAAAGACGATTTTGCTATTGGGAAGGTGGTGGTTAAACTTGAGATCGTTGAAGAGCCTCTTCATTAATTCATTCATTCTCTGTCTCTCTCTCTCTCTCTCTCTCTCTCTCTCTCTCTCTCTCTCTCTCTCTCTCTCTCTCTCTGGAATTGCCCATCTGTTAAGTCTAGAATTCAAAACAGTAAAAAATAAAAATGTAGAACAGCACTTATTTTTAAGAGTTTAAGAGAAAAGCATCTCGCCGGGCGGCGGTGGCACACGCCTTTAATCCCAGGACTCAGGAGGCAGAGGCAGGTGGATCTCTGTGAGTTCGAGGCCAGCCTGGGTTACAGAGTGAGTTCCAGGAAAGGCGCAAAGCTACAGAGAAACCCTGTCTTGAAAAACCAAAAAAGAAAAAAAAAAGAAAAAAAAGAAAAAGAGAGAAAGGCATCTCACTTTTTTTGTGACATGCTGGTCATAATGTTTGAGGAGATTTAATTTACAACTGTGATGGGAATTAAATTTCTGGTCAGTTAAGATAATGCTCATCTACCTGTAGAAAGGAATGCAAGTTGACATCACTTTAATAATGGCTTTTCTTGTTGTGCCACAGATGGCAGTCACTGCGACTCAGCTTTGCTGATGGTGTCTATGCTAACACAGGAACATGGGTTGAGTTGGATAACAAGTGTGTGTTAGGCATTAGTGATTCGGTACAGCGCTAGTATCCAGTACAGAAATCACTTTGATAACTGTAATGGCTGCTGCGTATGCTTGGCATTGCAGAAATGATGAGAGTCTATTTGTTAAACAAATGAGATGATGGAGTTGATGTGTTAAGTAGGGAGCCTGGCATCTAATAAGTTATCTAGTGCCCAGGGAATGGTTATATGGAAAGCTTATGCTGAGGCTTATTCAAGTATGCATGTGTATATTTTAAAAATAACAGCAATGCATTTAAAATGTTGACAGGCCCTAAAATTAAATTTCTTACAGGAAATAGGCCAGCTTTTCTTAACTTTGAGAACTTAAATGAAATGATAAATGAATGTCACAGATGTCTAGAAAAGACAAAAGATTTAACTTTTGACTTTTTTCCCCCCTTAAAGACATCTGTAATAGACATGCTATGAATAGGATTTGCTTTGAAAAAAGAACCAATTTCTGTGTGTGGCTATCTCAGTATGTTTATGCAGATGGACTGTGTGGAACTTGAAAAGTATACTTATACAGACGGACTGTGTGGAACTGTAGGAGTATCCTTATAAGCCTTTAATCCCAGCACCAGGGAGGCAGAGGCAGGTAGATCTCTGTGAGTTCGAGCCAACCTGGTCTACATAGTTCCAGACCAGCTAGAGCTGCATAGTGAGACCCTATCTCAAAATCAACAACAACAAAAAGGTATGCTTGTACAAGTTGACTGCAGACATCACAGAGTATGCTTACATGAATTAACTGCAGACACCACAGTACACTTATACAGATTGACTGCCATCAGTGTCACTGGGTGACATCATTTTATGGGACTTCTCTGCACTCAGTCATTGACTGACAGGCTGTTAGGTGGCTGGTGACTGCATTTTGATGAGTCTGCATCAACTCCTGTCTTTCTGTGGGTGTCTAGTCCAAAGGATGGGAACCTGTGCTCCAGGATTTAAAAATTAAGATGGACATATATTTAGAGTAGTACTAAACATGTATATGAAAATGAATATATCAGTAAGCCACATGCATTAAGTAGAAACACTAAATGGAAGTCATAATTAAATGGCAGAGTAGTTAGTTTGAAATTTTCGAATGCTCCGCCATGTACTTTTAAAGCAGCTATCCACTGACACTGGAAGAAAGTGCACCTTACATAGCTCAGTATCAGGAACAGAATGGGACTAAAAACAAAGACCTTATAATTGCTGTCAGTGCATCAGATTTCTCAGTGAATCAGCTGGCTGGCTGTTGTTGGTGGGTGAGCAGCTACATCTCTAGACGTAGCTTCTTGTTTTAAGAACCTCAGAGAGACCACATTATATAACTCAATTTTACATAAGATTAAAAAATACGGAGTTTGAAGTGTTATAACCAGAACAATGACAGCTTTACTTGAGGTTGCATTTCTCAAGTTATTTTACCAAGTATGTGCTGAACAAGTCCCATCTTTTGGCCCTTACTCTGTTTTGCTGCATGTGGGCCTGTCTCGGGGACTGAGTATTACTATTTTTGCTGTAGACAGTGCCCCCCTAGCCTCTGCAATTCATTGCTTCATATGGCAGTGGCCATCAACGGGCAGATTCTCTATAGTTACAAATTCTCTGCTAGAGGTAATGGGAAAAAATCTTCTTAGACACCAGAAAAGCTTTTAAATTGTGTTTTGTAAAAACTGAATACTTAAGAGATTTAGCCTTGTTTTATTTTTTTTCAGGCCTGCAGAATATATTTCAGAAGTCATGACTTGGAAATTTATCTTCTTAGAACTTGCTAGTGGGTCTGTAAAATATATCTATATGCAGACACTCTGAAATTAATTTGGCAGTTTCTCAAAATCTAAACATAGGCTTAACATAAGATCCCACAGTTGCATTCTCGGACATTTTCCTAGATAAATAAAAACTTGCATTTGTACAAAAGCTTTTTCATTAATACTCATAGACACTTTATAATAGCCCCAAACCTTCAGGATGACAGAGAAGAAAACTGTGGCATGGCCATACAGTGGGACACCAGGCCCCAACAAAAGGAGTATCTGTTGGTGCACACAGTAGTTTGCACAGAGCTCACCAGCTTTGTGCTAAGTGTAAACAGCTAACTGAAGGCCAGGGTCCTGAGCACAGACAGGAGATTCTAAAGGGCTGTAAAGAGGCTTCTGTGCAAGGAGCAGTTCACTGCAGTTAGTTTGCAAAGCCGCATTCTCCCCAGATAAAGCAGGGGCTTTCATGTGAGGGAAGCTTGCACATCATGACGGGGAAGATGTCGTGTATGCAGGCGGTACATCCATGGACATGCTCAGCTGTGAACAGCTCTCAGCACACATTGACAGTTAGCCTTGGTCACCTAAAAGAGACAGAGTGAGGTTTTGGTTTCTTGGAAGTTTTCCTTAAGAACCTTAGATGAAACAAAAGGGGAACAACCTTGAGGTTTTTACGTTGATTTATTTATTATGTGAGTATGGGTCTACATGTCAAGGTCAGGGAACAGCTTGTGGGAGCCGATTCTTTCCCTGTACCATGTGGGTCCTGGGGATTGAACTCACCTACCAGCTGAGCCATCTCCTGGCTCCACTGTCCTAGTCTTTTCAGAGGAGCAGCAGCTTCCTTCCTCCAAAAGTGTAGGAGCTCAGACTTAGAAAGTGGCCAGCCAAAGCTGTTTTTTTGTAGCATTCTCAATGACAATAGTGTAGACATGGAAGGCAGGCTAGTATTTCCTTAGGTTAGGGTTGTTTCTTTGGATGAAGGGATAGTCCTGTGTTTCAGTTGCAGTGGTCGTTATGTGGATGTTTGAACACGATGAAGTGTAGAAACACAGTATGAAAGCTGAAATTTGAATGAGTTAGTTACTAGTCAGTTTGCTAGTTTTAGTAATTGCTTATCCATTATATAGCTGTCATTTTATGTAGCCATTGAAGGGTGTGGTAATTGTAAATAAAGCTGCTATGAGTGTTCATTTTCAGGTTTCTGTGTGAGTGTAAAGATTCCATTTTTTTCTAGGATAAATGCCCAGGAGTAACTGTCGGGTTGTGTGGTGTGTGCTCAGCTTAAGGAATTGCCAAACTTTGCCAGTGTAACCGCACTGTCTGGTAGTCCTGCCATCGCTGGAGAGATCCAGCTCTCACTCCCATTTGCGCTTCCCGAAGGCTAATCTTTCCCTGTGCTCATTTGCCTCTCACGTCTTCTCTGAGGACGTGACTCCTCAAGTCTTCTGCCCACTTTATAATTGGATTGTTTGTTTTCTTAGAGATTTTAAAATATGTTCTAGATCCATCTTTGCCAAATGCAGGGCTTGTGAGTATGTTCTCTCAGTTCCTGGGCTTGTCTTTGCGTTCTCCTACAGTGTCTTTCACAGCTCACACCTCCCTTTGAAGAGGTATAGTTCATTACTTTGTGGATTGTGCCCTGGGGGTCAGAATTCTGTGCGTAGCCCTCGATTGGGAGGATGTTTGTGTATTTTCTTCTAGGTGGTTCACAATTTGATGTTCTTGTTTCTCGTTTCTGTCATCTGTTTGGAGCTAGTGTTTTGTACAGGATGTGAGGTTTAAATCTTGGTTCTTTTTGCTTCATCTGTGAATGTCCACTTACTCCCAAACCATGTGTTGAAGACTCCTCTTTCTCCATAGAATGGCTTTTTATTTTTATTTAATTTTTTTAAAGATTTATTTATTTATTATGTATACAGAGGAGGGCGCCAGATCTCATTACAGATGGTAGTGAGCCACCATG